AAAGGAGACCAATAACAGTTACATTTCTCATCGACAAGTTTCTAATTAAATTTCTTTACTTTATTAGTTTAGCTACTATTAGTTTGTTAACTCACTTATGAATTAAATTCGGGTGATCTCTATATTTTGAAATAAATCGATAGTATGTATCATTTCTTACCGTTTACTATCGCGTTCTTATTATTTATAATTTCAGTGTTATCTGTAGAATTACTTTAATCATATTTTAATTTAATCATACTCACTGCGAAAGTACCATGGATTTTCCATTATGCGTTTCTCACACGCCTGGTACCAATAAAAGATATAAAGAGACGGGAAGAATTGAGTTGGTTTATCAGTTTTATTGACACAGCTTATTCCGAAAAGCAGGGACAATATTTTATGAGAGCGAGTTATTCGCAGTGATGAAGTTATCGCCTCCATTAGACGGGCTCCGACTTCCGGTTCGAACTGGAGGACACAAAGTATCAACAATACTTTCCGTCTTGCTTTTAATATACGTGCGCAATACTCGTAACCAACAAAGGATCGATCAGTGTAACCTGTCGTTTGTGCGACTATTACGAAACTTCGTTGTCTAAAGTGACGTATTTTTATCATCGTTTCTCTTCATTTACAGTAGCAGAATAAATCAGAAAATGTTTCATAATAGCGTGCTGCATCCAAAGCCAGTCAAAAAGCTAGCCAATAGCTATCAACGAACGTACAACTACTTAGATGGAACAGAACTTGATTCACTTTTTTTGAACCCTGAAAGACTGAATCTGTTCAAGTCTTTTGTCTTTGCCTCTTTTATCTTTGAAACGAGAGATTTGTCGCGCTCCATTCTGCACTTGTAATCGAAAGACCATGCGTAGGAATAATTCTTTTCAATTGTAATAATGCCTTCGAATGTATTTAGTAGTTCTAATATAATACAGATACCCAAGAGAAGAACAGAATGAACAGGCGTGTGTTCGCCCGATGATTCTCTTTTCTTCAAGGGTATCAAGTTTCTGCGGAACATATCATTGCTATCGGAATTTCCGAGCCTCCTTATCCGCAGTCTCTAACGGATTCCACTACTCAACGCGATCGATCGATAGGATTGCTGCGTTATCCGCAGATTTCGAAACCTATATGATAATCGGACCAATTGGACGACCAATCACGCTTTGCGGAAGTTTCGAGATGACTTGTTGATTTTTGTCTTGCATGAGCTCTTGCCTAATACATACTCGAAAATTGACACTTCCGCTTGGAATTCAAATTGTTCAAATATAGTAACAGTTGTTTAGCTTTCAACTAGTGATGGCACAAGTGAATATATAACAGTCGAATCGTTATTATAAACGTATTGGATTAATCCTCATGATTCTGTTACACTTGTTACTGTAATAACTGCAGGTTATTTTGAATTTTAAAATTATTATGAATCCTAAAAGCTCAAGCAATATTTACTTTCTTGTTTAGTGTTTAAAAACCTAAAATATTTCATAAGAATCCAAAGACATGTTTCCTTCTGGATGATCGCATGGCATGGCATAGTCGATATTTTCGTACTAAAAGAATATTATTGCAATGGACCAATTTTCTAGATCTCAACAAAAATTAATTCAATTTGTTGAATAAGTACTAACTAACTGGCGAAACAAAGTTCAATCTTTAAAGACTGTATGCAGCTTATTATCTCCTTAAAATTACGTTTATTATGTAAAGCATATGTTAACCCTCAGTAGGTATCATTGAGTCTCTGATGACGTGCAACAGTTTCGGTCGTGCATTTTATAAATGTTAGACAATTTTATAATCTCCGCTTTCCTGTACTTTTCCAGCATAAAACGTAACTTCGTATTCTACAAAATCAAATATTAGTCTTCTTCCAAGTTCAGAGCATTAATTAAAATTAGATTAGCTACGTCGAAAGTATCGCTACTAGATGTGTCAGCTAAGGATTGCATAATAATTTCTATAGAAGTGAAAACATTAATTTTAGCCGAGATTTCGATAAGTTTCACTGCTATAATGAAGAGAGACAAAAAGTCTATCAATATCTATCGATACATTTTACAATTGTGCAAATCAACGTTTCATTTTGACGCAAGAAACCCAAAAAATTTCGCAATTGTCGAATCTGACATGAGCACGATCTAGGATGCCGAAAGTTGGTTTAGAATTTGGTGTAGAACAAAAGACGGCAAAATAGGGCTCGCCTACAACCAGCTCCCAGCCGGCCGGTTAACGATCGTCCAATGTACACGAAACATTCTGGTGTTGGCTGCAGCTGTAATTTTCGAACGCAAAGTTGCATACTTGCTGCATACTGAGTATCGAGTATACCAAGAAAATTTATATCTAGACGTAGTATCTCGTTTACGGTAAGCCCTACAGTTTTGATTTATCTAAATTTTGTGGTGGTATGCGTAATTTTTATAATAATATTTCGATTCATCAGCTAGGATCATTTATGTGTGATAAATTACATACTTGTTTCGGTCATTGTAGCATCTGATTGGTTTTTTTTCAGTTGGTTAAGCTTGTTAATTGAGAGAATATAATGTTATATATTTATTACTTTCAAACTTGTTCTATAGAAATTAT